TTCTCCACTTGTCCTAACTCCGTTAATGGCTCATAGACCCATTTCACAGATGATGAAACTAGGGCTGGGGATTTAGGCAGCATATTCAAGGTCACACGGGAAGTAGTGGAGCCATCGTGAGCCATCCTCTGCCGACTTTGCAAAAACCCCAGGACCCTGTAGCTGGGACTTGGGTTCTAGACTCAGTTTGCAGTGTGGCTTTAGCCAAGTCATCTAACCTCTCAAGAAATTAGTTTTGTCTCCATACAGTGGGGATAATGTCCCACTGTCCTCTCAGGGTTATTGTGGAAAAATGAACAAGAGGGCTAATGAACACAAACCATGAGGCACTCCACACATACCCAGTGCAAGTTTCTCAACAAAGGAACCTCCCTCTCCCTACACCTACTAAGCACCCAGCTCCTGAGGTGTCCTTGAGCCCTGCCCTAGCACAGCAAGGAGACAAAGGACCGCCTGGTCTCTGGGAAGGGACTAAGTAACCACTTAGTGCCACCTAGTGGTCTTCAGTGTGTGGTGCTTGAGGAGCAGAAGGGCCTATTACTCTGGGATTGGGGGTCTGAGCATGACCACTGGCCCCGTGGAGGTGGGCAAAATATGCCAGGGCCTAAGGAAAGATGTGATCATGCTTAGCTAAGCCCTCCCCTGAGGGTCCCCTGCCCCCCTACCAGGGTAGGGTGCAGCTGGGCACTCCGTCTGTCTGCCAACTCAGCCCCACATTTTACTTCCTCTGGACAGCTCCAGGAAGACAGTTGGGGGGCAGGGCACGGAGTTCTAGCTCTAGGAAGACAGTTGGGGGCCAGGGCACGGAGTTCTAGTTCCCGCCGAGCCACTGCCTAGCTCCCCAGGCCTCAGAGATGCAAAATCAGAGTAAACATCCATGCCTCTCAGGGGACCTGTTCTTTCATTTATCAAATATTTTATTAAGTATCTCTTTTCTGAAGCCCATCACGCTGAGTGCTGTGAAGGCACAAAGACATCAAAGCCAGGTCTCTTGCTTCCCAAAGGCTCCACCTCATTCTAGGAGACAGACTTGTGAACTGCTAATTACCATCAGAGGCAGGTCACTACTGAGTGCTCCGTCCTCAGGCACAGAAGGGGGGGGGGGGGGGGAGTGGCAGCAGAAAGTGGGACTTAGCCCCAGGAGAAGCTCTCACTCCTGTGTTGAGCCTCCTCAGGAATATGGCCTGCCTCCCTCAACAGCCATTTTCTCTTGCTTTCCAGTGTAATAAAGTGGGATGTCAAGCTCCATCTTTCACACTTCTATGCCTCTGTACTACATAGTTCCCTTTTCCTAAATGCTTTTCTCCAACCTGTCCACCTGAGTGGAGGGGAGAAGAATGGGAAATGCCCATGACTAGGAAACTTGAGGGAAGACAAAAGGTCTCCCGAGCAAGGCACAGAACACCCATCACCAGAACCGTATGCTCAGGCAGGTGGGAGGCCCCCTGGCCCCCTAACTGCCGGATCTCTGCATTCTTTCATTCCTTTGTTCATTCCATGCCATTGGCCTGCCCCAGTCCATGGGCTGGGCTGGGTGTACCAGCTGCAGGAAGCAGGGGCCTCAGTCCTGTTCTGAGGAGCTTTCTGGTGCAGGAGACAGACCCACAAGCAAGGACAAGACAGCGGATGTGCTCAGACACTGGAACCACTTTTCTACAAAGAAGCAAGGCTAGATCTTGGGAACACAGGTGATATTTGAGGTGAGTCATGAGGGGTTAATCTGGGCATCTCAGGTTAGAAACGTGTAGCTAGAAACAAGTTAGGGAGGCATGCAGGAGGAAGGCACCCACCTTCCAGTCCCTTTCTCCTCTAAGCCAGCTCTCCTCACCCATAGGTACTCCCTTACTGGATCACTTAGTTAGTTGCTTGCTTGTTTATAAATCTGTCTCCCTGTATTCACTATAAGCACCCTAGGTCCGTGTCATTTTGGTTTACTGTGAGGTCTCCAGCATCTAGCCCAGCACCTGGAACATTATAGGTGCTTGATAGATAAATATTTGTGGAATGAACATGTGAATGAACACACAGGCTGGGCGGGAAGTCTCTTTTATTCCAGAATGACAGTGATTACTGGAGACATTTTCTCTTGTTCTGACCATACTTACCTGTCCACCCCACCCCCATATCCTAAGCAGGGTCACTAGGCCTTTGAGCTTCTTTGCCTCAAATCCAGAAGCTACCTGAGAACACACTCTCCTGGCTTTTGCTTCCAGTTCCTTGAGGGGATTACGCTGGGGGGAAAGAGAGGCAGAGAGGAGGGTTCCCAAGACTAGGAAGGGGTGACTGATCACAAGGTACCCTGAGAGCACCATAAGGAGGTAGCAGGGCTCCAGAGGGCAGAGTCTGAGGCTGCTGGAGAGGCTACGACCTGTCTTCCACCCTACCTTTCCCTAAGGCCTGGGTACAGTTAAGGCCTATGGAGCTGGTCACTGTGGGTGTCAATGGCCACCATGAGGCCATGGACACAAGAGGCCTGCTCTTGCAAGCCCTACCCCCAGCCTGTGTGAAACTAGGGGTGGATGAGGAGCCCTCAATTCTAAGATGGGGTTTCCCTACCCCCTCAGGGATATAGGTTCGAAGTTAGATTAAATTAGATGTCAAGAACATAAACTGTGAGGTTCCTTACACATATCCCTCCAGCCTGAGGACAGCACCCCCTCACAGAGAACATGTGTGCCTTTTTCTGGAGCCTTGTGGAGAGCATCTTCACAACAAGGGACTGTCTGGTATACAGGCAATCCCATAAGGAAGACATCTTTACATGGCAAATCCATATGAGACCAGGGAAAGCTGAAATCAGTCCTTGGGGGTAGGCGTGGGGGCATGCCGCAGCAGTGTGTATAGAGGGTGCAACCAGAGAGGAGAGCCCCAGACAGGATGCAGAAGAAATAGCTGCGTCACCAGGACCCTGAAACATCTTCAACAGCTTGGCTCTGGAGGATGATGGGAGATTCATCTCTCCGCAGAAGCCCTGTTCCCCTCATACCTGATGGCATATTCGATCTCTTGCTAGGTACTCTTGCTAAGTAGCTGCAGGACTTGCATTGGAGACCAAGTTCCACCAGCCACATACCTGCACCTGCCTTTAGGTGTGGACTGAGTGAAGCAAGGAGGCAGAAGAGTACAGGATTCCTTCGCTGATGCTTGTGCTTGTGTACAGGGTACAAAGAACTTCCCCCAGCCAGCTGCTCCCAGCTCCGCTCTCACTATTTGTTCTAGCTTCTCTGGTTCTCACTTGTAACCAAGCTTGGGTTTCTGGCTTCATATCAGTTCTTTGAACTAGCCTTCCATTACCTTCCTTTTCTGCTCATTATCTTGAGTCAGGGTCTTTTGTTTCCATCCAGGATCCCCAAAGGTGCAGAGCTGCTAGGAAGCACAAGGCAGTGCTATCTGTGCTGAACTGGATGGTTCCCAAACTGTTAAGTGGAAAGAGTGAAAAAAGCGAGGAGCAGCCCAAGTGTAAGCCCCATTAAGGGCAGGGTCATGGTGAGATCTCCTCATAGCTGGTTCTGGAGGAGGGCTGGGTCATATAGGCAGATGGGAAACACTGACTTTCGAATGGCACCACATTTAAAGGCCACCATGATTGCCCATTTCTGGTGGGGGGTTACCCTGATGGGCTTGGCTCCTCCTAGGAGTGTTTTCCATTTGGGGTCAAGAAAAGGGTTCAAGCTACAGAAAAACAATCAACTCCTCAAGATCAGGAAGAGTGGTGACAAGAGGGAGACAGACATGGGTCATACAGGAGTGAGGCTGGCACCACATCTTGTCTGCCAAAGGAGCATAGGAACCAGATATTATGGTGATAATAGTAATCATAAACGTTAATGACAGCTCCGGACCGAGTTCCTGCCATGTGGCTACCCTTTTCTCCCAACAATGCTACACGAAAGTCACAGTTACCACCTCCACTTTATACAGGAAACCCCCAAAGAGGCTGTGTAACATGCCTAAAGTTACACAGCTGGCCAGTGGCAAAATCAGATGGAAAGCCAGGTCTGTCCCCTGACCGTCTGTCAAATTCCCCACAGTCTGCAGCCCTGCCTCTTCCACAAAGCCCCCAGGCAAGGTCTGAGGACCCACAGCTCTTCCAAAGCAGCAAAGCACTGAGTCTGCCCTATCCATGGTCCCCAACATTTAGCCAAACACTCCTTGAGCACATGCTTTGTATGCTGGGGCCTCTGCTGGCTTTTGGAAGACACGGATAAATGCTCTCAAGTACCCAGATTTCATGTCCTCCTACAACCAGCACGGTTTCACTCCTCTTACCATCGTCAATTTCACATTTAAAATACATTTACTCATAAGCAGGGAACCCTTGTTTTAACCAAACTATAAGGGCCCCTCAGCAATTTCCATCAGACTCGTTGAACAGCTGAAGCTAGTTTGTTGATGATCCCTTCCCATTCGGAACATTCAAGCTGGAGCCTCAACAAGGCACAAAGTGAAAAAGTTACAACTGAGACTCCCAACAGTCAGTCATTGGGACAGACCTATTTCCTGCCATGTGAATTCTCTCGTGTGCCTTTGTCTGACTTCTGGGCAATGGTAATTCACCTTGTCAATTCGTTGTGAGTCTGAATCTTGGGTAAGTCAGCTTTCCAAATAACCAATAATCCTAATAAAAGCTCATATAAGGGTACCGTGAGCTCAGCCATCATGATGTAAGCAAACACCTCTGTGTGTATCCACAGGGAGATGATCATGGCAATACTTAAGGCCAGTGTCCCAGGGAGGAATATGCCTCTTTTTGAGAGAGAGAGAAAGAGAGAGAGAGAGAGAGAGAGACCTTGTGAGTGTGAGAGAGGGGCAGAGGGAGAGGGAGAGATCAAATCTTAAGCAGGCTCTTTGCCCAGTGCAAAGCCCAGTGTGGGGCTCGATCTCACGACCATGATCATGACCTGAGCGGAAATCAAGAGTTGGACACTTAACCAACCAAACCACCCAGGTATCCCATGGGATGCCTTCTTAAAGAGAGCAGAAGACTCAACTCACAGTCCTTACATAATTTACAAGTTTATTTGTCCTAAATAAATACGATCTGAGAACATCCATCTTAATACCCCTAAATACGATTTCTTCTCCAAAAAAGCAGCTTAAGGTAACAGGCACGTGGTTTGCATTGTATGTTCTCAGGTTAAGCTCAGGAGAGTGTTTGTCCTGGCTTGTGCTGTCCTGGGTCTAGCTGTGATGACAACCTCAGGTTCCCTTCTGTTTGGGGCCTGTACTTGGCCTGAGTCTCCCAGTTCAGGACTCCTATAGCCTGTTCCTGATCCTGAAGCACCTGTCTTCAGCCTCTCCTCTCTGCAGCCCAAAGAGAGCAGCACTCACAACCGTGTGGCCCTGGGCCAGCCCTCACAGAGAGCTTTGTCCCATAACACCAGATGCCACCATAAGCCCTTTCCCCATTGGCACAGAAAGGGTTACTCCTGTCCCTGGAAGTAGCTCACCCAGGGCAAGGGGAGAAACTGAGGCAGAGCTGGCAAAGGGGTAAGAAGTGCTCTCCCTTGAACCTGGACCAGGACAGACCAGAAGGCTGAGAGCACTCATGAAGGGAGAAAGAGACACTATCTTCCCCCAGTTATCCCAAAAGGCCCTGGCCCACTAGGGAGGAAGAAGAAGGGGAGACCATCATTTGTCTTCTCTTTTGAGGCTCAAAGGTTTGGATCCTCATTCTCTTGGTCTGAAGCTGCCTCATCATCATGTGGAGACTTCTGGATCAGAGACAGAGAAAGCCAGTCATTGGTTTATGCTGTCCCCTAAGGCCACAGCCCAGGGGCCAGCATCTCCTTCTTCTTGCCCCTATTCCCAACAGAGCCAGAGAAGGCTCTGCCGTCCCTAACCTAGGGTCCCTTGGCCTCTTCTCTGTCCTAGCTCCCAGGCTTCCCACACCATATGGCCCACCATCAGGTGATTGCCTCTTACCAGGTCGACGCCCCTGCCCCTCTGCAGGGTGGCATAGAAGCTCAGCACACGAGGGTCACAGCGAACCACCATGGGATCAAAGTCCAGCACACGCAGGCCCTGCAGGCTGCGGGCCCGGGAAAGGGCCACATAGGCCTGGCCACTGGCAAACACACGACCCAGAGAGATCTCCACGCAATCCAGGGTCATGCCCTGGGGGAATGAGGAGACAGAGCTGGAGCCAGCTCAGCCTGAAATCCCTTGTGCCCGAGAGCGTGACCCCACTTATACCAGCCCAGCTACTGCCTCTGGAGCTCCTCACCCAGTCTAGAGATTCTCAAGGCACAGGAACAGATTGGCAGCAGCTGAGTGTCTGAGTAGGAGGAGGTCCAAAAGACACAAATTCAGTAGAGGGGTGGGGGTGAAAGGAAAGAGCACAGGCCTGGGTCAGACAGGCATGGAAATGAATCCTGTCTCTGCCTCTCACTCTCTGTGTGACCTTGAATAAGTTACTTAACCACTCTGAGCTTTAGTTTCCTCTTCTGTAATGATGACAGGACCTAGACAAGGTGCTGATGTTGATGCCCTGTCATACTGGTAGCCTATAATCAGATCGGCCTCCAGGCTACAATCTTCTAACAAGAATGATTATCACAGCTATACCTCACACAGTTGTAAGGATTAAATTTAACATCTGGTAGTGGCTCACCAAATGGCAGGACAGGAGATGGCAGAGGGAAGATTATGTGTTTGGGAAAGGGAGAGGAAGCAGGATGGGAAATGCACTAAAGAAAGGCTAATTCTGCCACTGGTCTGGAACTTTCACTACACTTGATCTTAGCCAAAAGGCTGAGAAGCAATGATCTGCATCTTTCCATACAGGGCAAACTGAATCCCCATAAAGCCTTTAAGAACCCCCTTCCACATGCCCCAGGTCTTTTCAGTCCCCACCTGCCCTGCCCCATCTCCGTCCCCTGCACTCGCTGCTCACCTGGCTCTTGTGGATGGATATTGCCCAGGCCAGCTGGAGGGGCAGCTGCTGTCTGCTGAGGAGCTGGCCGCCAGTGGCCTGCACTGTCCAGCGATCAGCGCGTATGACCTCGGTGACTCCACACAGGAACCGTACCTGGGGCAGCCCTGAGGGAGGTGTGGAGAAGCGCCACCTTTTGGCCCGGCTTCAGGACTCAGGTGAGGAGCAGGCCTTCTCCTCCTCACATACCCCAGGGCCCTGCCACAAACCCGAGCTGCAGGACTGCTCCCCCACTGCCTACCTCTCCCCTCTGTCTCGAACCCGACGACCACCCCGCGGGCACCATTCACCAGGCCCCGGGACACCGCTAAGTTCTTCACCAGCATCACCTGCAAGGGAAAGAGGACTTGAGGCATGAAGAGCAGCCCATTCGTACGCCCCGCCTCAGCTCGAGCGCTTGCTGCAGCAGTCCCAGGAGGCTGGGGGCTCTCATGGACGGGCACTGAGACCTAATCCTTAACTCTGCCACTAGCTGACTATGACCCCTGTGGCAAACTGCTTTATTTTCCCCGGTCTCAGTTGCACCTAGTGTCAAGGGGAATGACGTTTGCTGTTTGCCTCAGGAAGAGGTAAAGAGCAACAACATAACAGACCTCACACGGCTCTGAAAATGATCATGTCTGTGATGGGATATGTATATGAGCCACAATCATGAAGGGCAGCCCCAGGTCCTGCCACCCCTCTCCCGGCCCTTAAGTGCCCTTCGGAACCCAAGGCAAGTCTCCCATTTGGTCGACCTCAACATCATGGGAAGAAGCAGCGCTTTCTCACACTACACAGATGTGAAATTGATCTTCAGCAAGGGAGAGGGACTTGTCCAAAGCATGGCTGCTGGTGCCCCCAGGCCTAGCAAGAGGACGGCAATGGGAGGCTGAAGATGGGAAGGAGGGAGGAAGGGAGGGAGTTCTCTGGGGTCACAGCTAGGCCCTCTGGCTGTGGAGCAGCCTGGGGAGAGGTGCAAGGACAGGAGAGGCCCAGGCTTCCAGGGTCTGGGCCCTGCTTCCCACTCACCTGGGCCCCCATCTTTAGTTGAAGGATCTGGCTAACTGGACACTGGGCATCCAGGGTTCGGGCATGCTCAGGGTCACTGTCCATGGCCTTAAAGCTGTGTATCTCCCCTAGGAAAAAAGAGTTGCGCAAACAGATTATAAGTCACTGACTTGTGGCTCAGTTTCCAAAAACATATATTAGACCAAGATATGGAAGGAGGTAGTGAGGACAGTTCAGGCAACCTGGGGCTTTTGAATCAGGAGCCTGGGTTCAAGTCTTACTTCCAACATTTACTAGTTCAGTGACCTTGACCCATTCAAAGTCATGCCTCTCAAAGTCACAGTCACATCTATAAATGTAAAGGCCTTTATGGCCAGAGAAGTTGGGGGCCTAAATATCCAGGCTGTTGGGGGAGGAGGGCCCACACCTGCCTGATGGCTCCTCCCAGATGGTCTTGCCCAGCCCTGGCTCCCTGATCACCTGGCAGTTCCTGTAGTCGCCTCTCGTTGGTGAGGGCCACATCATCCTGGTGAGTGCAGAGCCTCGTGGCCACAATCCCATCTCGCCCCACCTTGTGGGAGGCTGTGGCCTGGAGTTGGCGGGTCACTTCATCTGAGCACCTGTAGAGGCTAAGCTGTCAGGGCAGAGTAATCCCCTGAACACCAGGGAAGGCGGGGCACATGGCTAATAAGGCCCACGCAATAGGCCATAGTTCAGGCTTAGGGGGTAGAAAGGCACACCAGGGTAAGATGTCCTGGCCAACTTGCCCTTCGCCATTTGGACCCCAGACATGGAGAATGATCATGGGCAGGCACCCTTCCCTGTGAATGCCTCCAGGTAGGAGCTAGCTACCCTCCCACCCCAGTGTTCCAGAGAAAGTTGGATATGGTGAGTGAGCATAGGCCAGAGGTTTGGAGGATCTAGACAAGGTGCTGATGTTGATACCCTGTCATACTGGTAGCCTATAATCAGATCAGCCTCCAGCCTATAATCTTCCAGCCTCTTGCTTACTGCTTTGGGGATAACAATCTAACGTATGTGTGTTTAAAGTTTATTTATTTATTTATTTAAAGGAATCTGTACACCCAACATGGGGCTTAAACTCTGGACCCCAAGATTAATAGTCACATGTTTCTCCAACTGAGCCAGCCAGGTGCCCCTAGCCTGTGTTTCTATCTCAAGGCTTCCTCCACATGAGAAAGTCTGGGAACAACAGCAAATCATGAGGAAAAAGGGGGAAAAACTTGGGACCATCTCTCGCTGCTCTGCCACTCAGCTTTCCTCTTGTTCCCCACACACGCTGGTGTGTGCTGTGCACTTTCCTACCTGTCTGTCTGACAGGGGTCCCTAAGCATAGAAAGCCCCTCACCACCACCACTTGCTCCCCTATCTCATCCCAGGTCTTCAAGGCCCAGCTATGAGCCATGACTTCCACCTTCCTGTCCTCCTGTCCACTCTCACATTAGAGTAGCCCTGGCATTTCAACTTTTTGTCCTAGCTGGGATGGGATCATATTAGCAACCTCCTTCCCTCATCAAGTGACCCTATAGGCTCTGAGAGTGGAAGGAACTTGGGCTTTAGAATCAGGCCAGTTTCAAATCCCAGTCCAGTCACTTACTGGCTGTGACTTTGGGCAAGGTACTTCACCTCCTTGAAGCTCTGTTTCTGCATTCGTGAAATAAGAGTGTTAACATCTCTGATTTCCTCTTGTGTGTCCATGTGCCCACACTTTCCTGACACCTACCCTGTGCCAGGGCCTGTGCTGGGTGATGGGGACCCAACCTTGGAGGAGGCAGGGTCCCAGCGCTCATACAGTGACCATCTCCTACGGGGCCATGAAGCATTTTCCCCCCTTCTCTGGGTCCCTGTGCTCTCCTGTGACCCACACACGGATCCTCATCCCATGGCCCCTTCTGTGTTCACCAGGGCCCACCTTCCCAGCCTGACAGCCTGCAGCAGAGAGATGAAGGTCTGGTCTGCCTGCCTCCACACCTCGGTCAGCTCCAAGGTCACTGGGACACATCTTCTCCAGCTTTTGGCCTGCGGGGGGGAGGAGGGGGCAGGGTAGGGGTATCAGGGAGAAGAGCAAACACCTATGGAGGACAGGGCTAGAGGGTGAGTGATACCTGAAAGCAGAACTTTGGGGGCTGGGAGCCCTTGGTTACAGGTGGCAGCTGCAGGAAGTCCCCACAGATGATGAGCTGGATCCCTCCAAATGGCTTGTTCTGCTGCCGGACAGCTCTGGGGAGGAGCATAGGGTACTTGAAGAGCTGGAATAGACAGGTTTCATATGGAAAACCACGAGAACACAGCCCTTACTACATATCCTGACCTGGCCACAGCTTCCAGCTTGTCAAACAGGTCAGCCTCCACCATGGAGATCTCATCAATGACTAGCCGCTGGCAGTTCAGCCAGCCCTGCCGCACAGCTGGCCGCTGAGCCAGGGCCACACACTGGGTCAGAGGAGCCTGGCCTGAGCCAATGCCTGTGAGGGATGTGAGTGACAGTATTTAGCCTGAGACCCTAGCTGTGTCCCAACCCTTACTTCCTCTCCCTCCCTTCTCAGAGGCCTGGCTTGCTTCCAGTTCAAGCCCTAGAGGTTCCCACTTACCTGCAAAGGCATGGAGAGTGGTACCCCCGATGTGGCAGGCTGCCACCCCAGTGCTGGCAGTAGCCACGGTACCTGTGGGAGGCAGCGAGCCCAGGATGCGCTTCAGCAGATAAGACTTCCCTGTCCCTGGGCAGAAGGTAAAGTCAGGGCCACCTGCTCTTCTATTTTATCCCATCTCTGTTCCCCCAGCCCCTACTCTGCCCTCTACTACCTGCACTTCCAGTGAAGAAGATGCTCTGGCCTTTCAAGACAATCCTCAGCACAGCAGCCTGTTCTTCAGAAAGCTGTGGTTTGCTGGGGGGCAAGCTCAGCCTCTTCACAGGCAAGGGCCACCTTGGGGCTTCCTGTGAGGGGACAGGACTGTCTCAGGGCTTCCTACCTGAGCTTGGGTACAATGCTAGGTCTCTGCTGGCTTCACTCCTTGAAGCCCCTCCACTGATCCCTGGTGCCCTGGTGACTGCACTAAGTGGGTCTGGGTCTTCCCTCAGCTCCCTCCCCTGGTTTCCCTAAATCTCCTGGTTCTCTCACAGGTCCTTCCTTCTCACTTCTCTTCCTGTCACAGACCTATTTCTCTCACTTCAAAATACCCTAGCAGTGGGGTGTCTGGCTGGCTCAGTTGATGGAACAGGACCTCAGGGTCCTGAGTTCAAGACCCATGTTGGGTGTGAGGCCTCCTTAAAAAAAAAAAAAAAGTAAACAAAACAAAATACCCCAGCAAAACCCTGCGTGGCCAGGACCCCTTTCTTGTTCCATCTTCATCTTCTCACCAGCGTAGTCTGGAACCCCTGTGGTCTACCATCCATCTGCCCTAGTTCACAAACCCACCACACTTTGCATACACCGCCCCATTTGATCAAACCCATTGGCTGCCTGGACACTGCTGACCAATTCTTTTCTAAGCTTCTCCAAGACGAATAGTTTCCTATTTTTAATTCTGAAGTCACTTTTCTTTCTAGGCCTCCTTCTCTTTCTCTTTTGACGTTACCTGGGGCTTCTTTTCCTATTCCAGCTTACTCAGGAATTACACTGTGGGAAACACACACCATCCTCACATCCCTGACGTCCTCCGATGTCTGATGGGCATCTCCTCTTAGATAGCCAGCAACCCCTCCAATACTGCCACCATCCACCCCCCACCTGCCCAAACTTGGGCCTCCTGGTTCTCTTCCAACTCAGTGGCACACCCACTCCCTAAGGCGCCCCCCTCTCCGGTACTCACGGCGCTGGCGCTGGTCTCTGATCGCCCCCGGAGTTCCGTGGGCGGCTTCACCGGCGTGGTGTGCGGGACGCGGGTGGGCGCAGCGCGCAGTAACTCCTCGGGCTGCACGGGGCTGATGGTGATGAAGTCTCGGGGCCGCGGGCCAAGCAGCTGCGCGCGGGCGGAGGCCGGCCCGGGACCTGGGGCTGCGGCCAGCTTGAGACGCAGCGTGCGCAGGAAGCGTCGCAGGCGGTCCGGAGGGCAGTCGGAGAGCAGCAGCTGCACTGCGCCAGCTCGGGGAGCGCCGTCGACCGGAAGCCGCAGCGTGCTGCGCCCGGCCGCTGCAAAGCGAGTGAAGAGTCGTACAGCCCGCAGAGGGAAGCAGCGCGCCCGCCCGGCGGGGCCAGGCTCCTGAAGCCGCAGCAGCAACTCGCGGCGCTCATTTCGCCCCAGGCTCAGCTCCGCGGTGCGTAGGGCCTGGCGCTTTCGCGGCTGCCCGCCGGGGCTCAGCTCCTCCACAGCCACGCGACACCGCAGGTCTGCGTCCTCGAATTCCGCTGGCGCCGTCTTGGCAGACAGCATCGCCACCGCCTCCGCAGGTCTGCAAGAGGTCGGGAGCACAAGGGTTACGAGGACTCGGGGGCATAATAGGTGGTATAGAGGCTTTGACGGGAGACCGGTCAAGGCCACATAAGGTCACGGAGGCAGGCTGTCACTGGTAACACGAAGGGGACACGGAGACGGTAAAAGGGACCTGGGCCAACCAGAATTCATATAGACATTACTGTCCTACGCAATAATTTCCAGAGCGGTGGATGGGCAGCATCAAATGCATCCAGGATTGGAGAGCCTCGGCTGTCTGACAAGCCGCGGAAGCAGGCTCCTGAACAAAAACAGAAGACTGTTTCCAAGAGGCCCAGGGCAGGCAAGGGGATCTTAAGAGCCCTTTTCCAAAGAAGCAGGGGGAAGCTCACGTGGAGAGATGAGCAGGGGACTGAGTTGTAATAAGGACCTTCTGTCTTCCAGATATTCACTAATTTATACGCAGCCGGGTCAATCTATTTTCCGTGGAAGCCGACTGAGAGAGGCTACGAGTGGCAGAAGTCAGGGTTATTGTGACTTCAAAATTCTGACTTCCCGAATCTTTAAGGTGGGCGGGGATTTTTGCCTAGGAGAATCGCGAGGGATCCTGGGGCCCGGGGATCCCTGTTTCTTCCGTCTGACCCACTTGTCTGCACCCTCCCGGCAGAGAGCCTCTGAAAAATCAGAACTTTGTCTCCCATCTCCGGGATCGCGGGGACACTCACTTGCACCGGCACTCGGAGAAACGCGCTGAACAGAGCCGGCCAGTTAGCTAAGCGTGGGCACTAGGAACTTTCAAATACTAGGAGTAGGGAATCATCCTATAACCGGCCGGATCTTTAAATTCACCAGCCAATCAGACAGAGGGGCGTGACAACGGGCGTGTCTTTCTTTGGGTTCCAACTCCCGGAGTTTGGGCTGTACCAATCGCAAGCTGGAGGAAGGAGGTTTATAGTGGCGGAGCATACCAAAACTGGTGAGCCAGCCGAAGAAGTCGGAAGGAGCGGAGAGTTGCAGCAGGGCCACTCGTGGTGTCATGTCACACAACGCGGCTTGAAGATTTGTTTTCAGAACGGTGGTTCCAAACACACTTTTTCTCCGCTTTAGCCTTCACACAGAGGCTGAATTTGGCCTTGGGGGAAGAGCTGCCTCTGATCCCTCCCACCTGTGTTTCCCTTCACCGGGCGATTGCCCACTTCTGAGCCAACCCCCAAAGGCCTGTCGCTTCCGCTGCCCCCTGCCTCCCAGCCCTCTTTCCACCCTTCTCTGCCTCTGTTAAGGGTCGTTTTACGCATTTGTCTTCAAGCAGGCTGAGGCCCATCGTTCAGGAATTCCAAGACCTGTGCCAGGTGCTCAGGGAGTACAAAGTAAGCATGTGAACCCCTGTCTTCAGGGAATACGTATCCCTTTTGTCAAATGAACTGGATGCTCAGAGAATTTATTTTTAATTATCTTTTCTCCCTCCTCATTGACGCTTCTAATTTACATAGGTGGAAGGGATCTTACAGGTGAGTTAGCCCCCTCATTTGTTGGCTTGTCCTCATTTTTCAAACGAGGAAACCAAGGCTCCAAGAAATTTTACAAAAGGTCACATAGCTTGTAGATAGCAAAAACAAGCCTTGTTCAAGCCAACAAGCCTTGAACCCAAGTCTAACCTGGGTGAGCATCTGCTGTTTAACTACTAGGCTACACTGCTCCCAGGTGACTAATTTCATGAAGGGAATCCAGGCCTGGACTGGAAGCTCAGCTCCTGACAAGCTGCTGCCATGCCCCCGACCTGCCAGTTAGATGTTACTCTAAGCCAGTGTCTTTTTGTTTCCTCACATATAAATATGGTCAAAGATGAATATTTTCATTGACAGTATAACTCTGACTATACTAAAAAACATTGAATTGATGCTTTAAGTGGGTAAATCGTATGGCATGTGAATTATATCTCAATAAAATTGTTAGAAAAAAATCAGGAGAAACATTTTTCTTTGGTTCTTTTTTAAAAATTTTTTTAATGTTTTATTTCTGAGAGAGAGAGAGAGAGACAGTGTGAGCAGAGGAGGATCAGAGGGAGAGGGAGATACAGAATCTGAAACAGGCTCCAGGCTCTGAGCTGTCAGCACAGAGCCCAATGCGAGATCATGACCTGAGCCGAAGTCGGATACTCAACCGACTGAACCACCCAGGCGCCCCAACTTCGGTTCTGTCTTGACATATGAGTACCCAGTGGCATGTGAAAATTTTCAACATCATTGTGGTAGGCAGAATAATGGTCCCTCTAAGATGTTTCCATCCTAATCCCCAGAATTTATGACTATGTTACCTTACATGGCAAAAGAGATTTTGCAAATATGATAAATTAAGGATCTTGAAATAGAAAGATTATCCTGGGTTTTGGGTGGGCCAGTGGAATCACCATGGTTCTTATAAAGGAAAGACGAAGGCAAGAGAGTCAGAGGAGATGAGATACAGAAGCAGAGGTGTGTGTGTGAGAAACAGAAAGATTTGAAGATGTTACCACTGGCTTTGACAGAGAGAAGGGGCAGGAGTCAAGCCATAGAATATAGGAGGCTTCTCGAAGCTGGAAATGGCAAGCAAGTAGGTTCCTCCTCCCTAGAATCTATAGAAGGAACACAGGTCCTGATTTTACCCAGTGAGACACATGTCAGCCCTCTAGAACTGCAAGATAATAAATTTGTGTTGTTTTAAGCCCCTAAATTTGTGATAATTTCTTACAGGAGCAATAAATAGCACTAAGAAACAAGTACAGTCACACAGCTAGAACGTAAAAGAGCTGGGATTATGAACCCAGGTCTATTTCCAAAGCTTCTATTCTCTCTTCCCACTACCCTTTGCTCAAAATGGGCCCAGCACACTGACAGTCTGCTCCCTTCCCCTTTCTCTCTGTGCAGTACCTTTGACTGCCTCTAGAGAAGGCAAAGACACTTCCACATGGATTTTCCCCCAATGTTTTTTTTTTTTTGGCTTTCAAACTTAAAAAAAATTGTACAATGTACATAACATCAAAATTTTACCATTTTAGCCATTTTTAAGTGTACAACTCATTGCCATTAAGTACTTTCAAATGCTGCATAACCATCACTAGTTCCAGAAAATTTTCATCATCCCAAACAGTTTGTACCCATGAGACAATAACTCCCCACTCCTTTCATCTCTCAGTCCTGGCTAACCCCAGCATTTTATTCTGAAGATATTCCAACATAAACAGAAAGGTTGAAAGAATTGTACAGTGAACACCCATAAACCCACCACCAAGATGCAACAATTAATATTTTGCTATATTTGTTTTATCATACCTAATCATCTGTCCATCTAAACATTCATGAATACATCTGTTATGCATTTTGAAGTTGCAGACAACAGTACATTTCATGTCTAAACACTTTCAACATGCATGGCATTAACTAGGGTTTATGCTTTTTTTTCTTAAGGAGGCTCCACATCCAATGTGGGGCCTGAACTCATGACCCTGAGATCAAGACTCAAGTATGCTCTACTGACTGATCAGCCCCGTTGCCCTAATACTTATCTTTTTTTTTCAAATCCCCCCCTTTTTTAAGTTTATTTATTTATTTTTGAGGGGGCAGGGGCAGAGAAACAGGGAGACAAAGGATCTGAAGCAGGCTCTGTGTTGATAGCAGAAAGCCCAATCTGGGGCTCTAACTCAGGAACCTTGAGATCAACACCTGAGCCAAAGTGCAACGCTTAACAGACTGAGCCACCCAGGCACCCCCTAATGCTTATCTTTTAAAAAAATTTTAATGTTAATTCATTCAAAAATTTTTTAATGTTTTATTTATTTCTGAGAGAGAGGCAGCATGAGCAGGGAAGGGTCAGAGGGAGGAGACGCAGAATCTGAAACAGCCTCCAGGCTCTGAGCTAGCTGTCAGCACAGAGCCCGATGCGGAGCTCGAACCCACCAACGGTGAGATCATGACCAAAGTCGGATGCTCAACCGATGCGGAGCTCGAACCCACCAACTGTGAGATCATGACCAAAGTCGGATGCTCAACCGACTGAGCCACCCAGGTGCCCCAATGTTTATTCATTTTTGAGAGGCAGAGAGAGACACAGTATGAGGGATAGAGGGGCAGAGAGAGAGGGAGACACAATGTGAAGCAGGCTCCAGGCTCTGAGCTGTCAGCACAGAGCCCAACGCGGGCCTTGAACTCATGAGCTGTGAGATCATGACCTGAGCTAAAGTCAGACGCTTAACCTACTGAGTCACCCGGTGCCCTGTAATGTAAACTTCACAAATGGTAAAACGCACAACTCGTACACTATCATAAGAAGAATTCTGACAAACAAATATATCTGTGCAGCTAAACCCTTATCAGGATACAAACTGAGCTGTAGCTACCAGCCACATGTGGCTAAGTTTAAATTCAAATTACTTAAAATTCAATGAAGTTTCAACTTCAGTTTTGTTTTTCTAAGGTTTTTTCAAAAAGTTTATTTTTTGAGAGAAAGAGAGCGAAACAGCGGAGCAGGGGCAGAGAGAGAGGGAGACATGCTCCATGCTGTCAGAGCATAGCCTGAGGTGGAGCTTGAATCCACAAACCATGTGATCACGACCTGAGCCAAAGTCTAATGTTCAATGACTGAGCCACCCAGATGCCCTAAAATTCAGTTTTTGAGTCTCACTGGCCACACTTCAAATGTTCAGTAGCAGCATGGGGCCAGAAGCTATGGGACATTTCCTTCACTGCACAGAGTTCTAAGAACATTATCGTCACCTAGAAAGTTTCCTCAGGTCACTTTGTACCCACTCAATTCCTGCCCTCAAGCCTCAGGCAACTCTGCTCTGACTTGGTTTTCACCATAAATTTAGTTGGTTCTAAAACTTCTTGTAAATGGAATTACACAATATGTATTTTTTGTGTACAGTTTTCTTTCACTCAGCAGAATTATTTGGAGATTCATCCATGTTGCTGTATCAGTAGTTGGTTCCTTTCTATTGCTAAGTAGTATCCCATTGCATGGATATACTGCACTAGTTAGTATTCTATTTTCCTGTTGATGGATACGTGGGCTTTCTGTGGGTTTATGCTTTAATTTTAACTTTTTTTTTTTTTTCAGAGAGAGAGCGTGAGCAGGGGAGGGTCAGAGACAGAGGGAGACAGAGAACCCGAAACAGGTTCCAGGCTCTGAGCTGGCAGTCAGCACAGAGCCTGATGCGGGGCTCGAACCCACGACCCGCGAGATCATGACCTAAGCGAAAGTCGGACGCCCAACCAACTGAGCCACCCAGGCGCCCCTGTGCTTTAATTTTTAAAGAGAGAAATACCTCAGTGAGGGGCGCCTGGGTGGCTCAGTTGGTTAAGCATCAGGCTTTGGCTCAGGTCATGACCTCGCGGTTAAGTTCCAGTACCCCCCGTCGGGGCCTGTGCTGACAACCTTCTTCAGATTCTGTGTATCCCTGTCTCTGCTCCTTCCCCGCTCACACTGTCTCTCTCTCTCTCTAAAAAATAAATGAACATTAAAAATAAATAAGAATAAATACCTCGGCGAGAAACTGCTGGGTCATCCAACACGTACACATTTACTTTTATAAGAAACTGCCAGAGCTTTGTCCAAAGTGGTATGCCCTCCCAAATTTTTGTAGGAGCAGCAACAGTCAACCTTCAGAAGGAAAGGAATCGAACGAAGAACTTGAAGCGGCTTAGCGGTTGATTAACGGTCCTCAGGCTCCGCCCTCTTCCTCCGTCCCGTCAGTTGGATCCTGATTGGCCCGTGGAGGAGGGAGGCGGAGCCAGAGGGATCTCACGTCTGGGGCCGGACTTCCTCTTTCCCGGCTTTGAGTGTTCCAGCCGCCCTGTTTTTGTTGCTGCTATTGCCGCAGGGTTAATTCTAGGAAGGGCAGCGCTGCTCGCGTATCTCTCGCCTAACCCCAGGCCTGGTTTTGACGCAAGCTCTCAGGAATTTTCTTTACTAAAAATTTCCTTCTTGAGAACTCTTTCCATATGTCTTATGCGCTCTCTCTCACAGGTAGTCTTAATTCTAATCGCCAGCTCATTAATAAAAACCAACATTAGAACAGAACTGGGCGGTTTACAGAATGCGTT